CAGACCCATTCTATGATATATCATTGAATTCGTCTTTCTTATCTCTATCCAAGAATGAAATTAAATACTTTCGAAAATTCCGAGAAAATGATCGGTTTGCAAAATACGTCATCACTTTTGTTTAATTCGAATATCCTTAATATTGACAAAATATCAATATAACATATATAATTAGTTAATTCATAATGAAAAATGCGCATAGAAAACTTGATTCTCAACGTTTTCATAAGGCTTTGAAATTTGGCTATTTATTGAAGAAGATTATGAAAATAATCCGGAAGGGGTGATCTCATACCTACAAATGTAATAATATATCATTAAACTCATCTTTCTGAGCTCTACCCAAGGACGGAATGACATTCAGGGTAGTTCATTTGTGAAAATATATGTTTTGTATTGTAATCTTTTTGCCACTTTCGAACAAACAAATGACATTCTTAGCTATCAAGTGGAATATAAACAATCACCCTATATATACGTACGATAATGATCGTACAGGTGTGATCCATTATTTGACATTCAGTGTACATCCAAAAAGGAGGATTTTGACTGATCCTTATGTGATGGTTATCCAATGGATGTAAAATTATTGTTTGTACATAAATGTACAGGGTGTTTCTCGAGTACATTTAGAAAATTCAGGAGCATGTTGCTGACGTCAAACTGATGAGTAACAATGGAAATTATTTATTTCTGTCCACATATTTAACGAATATAATCTAGCTCCTAACTTCAGTTTCGGACTCCCGACTTTAATCTCGGACCCCCGACTTTAATCTCGGACCCCTGACTTTAATCTCGGACCCCCGACTTTAAAGTCGGACCCCCGACTTTAATCTCGGACCCCGACTTTAAAGTCGGACCCCCGACTTTAATCTCGGACCCCCGACTTTAAAGTCGGACCCCCGACTTTAATCTCGGACCCCCGACTTTAAAGTCGGACCCCCGACTTTAATCTCGGACCCCCGACTTTAAAGTCGGACCCCCGACTTTAATCTCGGACCCCCGACTTTAAAGTCGGGGGTCCGACTTTAAAGTCGGGATTCGAAAAAAAAAAAGTATAGGTGGCCCTTCAGCGCCTTCGTAGAAATCTGCAAAATTTTTACATTTCCTGGTATACCACTCACAGAATGTCCTGCGCCTGGTTTTAGCGCTTGACATATTCTGAATTTGTATGGATGGAATTTTCGTGTTCGCAAAATGAAATGGGTTGTTGATTGAAACCAGTTGATGAGGTATTAGTGTGTTGACTAATTTTCCTTCAAAATAAGTGGAACTGATGGCTTTTTTCCTTTGGAAGTTCGAAAAAACATTGATGATGGATAGAAATAGGTCGAAACACATTCGAATCACCTTGTATAATACATGGTTGAATTCAAAATGAAAAAACCTTTCAGAATCTGTGAAAAAATTATCAGGACCGTATTTAAAAAACAAAAGTTGATGATGGTTCTACGGATACGAAACGTCGCATAAGAAAATCGGTATCAGCACGTTAAACGTCATCAAAAGTTGCTATGAAGAAGTATTTTCAGTTTTTCTGTATCTCTAATAATAACGGAGAAAAGAAATGAAATAGAAATTCCAAAAATTCACTTTTTTCGATATAACTCAAAAACTAAAAATAATTTTTAAAATTTTCGAAGGCTCTTGATATGAGCCTCCGAATGCGCAGCTTTTTCCCCATTTAACTGACTTCGTATCTCCTACCGTTTTCGAGATCCCCATGCTGTTCAACCTTATCTTGGACAGACTGTATACAGTATGATGCAAATGTATGGAATAAATTCATTATTTCAGAAATGGGCGACATTTGAAGAAATTCCAAAAACACGTGAGTTTTAATTTTTGAAACCTCATCTCATGACATTCATATATGAGAGATGTTACGTCACCGGTGTTGGAGTGATGACGTAATGGACGGTTTTTTAAATACAAACAGGGGTCATGTGACACCTCGTTTGAAAGGTCTACTGATCGTCTATCCAATAGTCAAAATTTTGCAAAAGAAGATTGAAATTAAAATGGATTATCATTTGGTTAACTGAATCTTGCAGAGATCTTCTACTGAGAATTGAACATCGAAGGGTCGTCTATATAGTTGAAAAAATACATCGATAAAAAAGTTCTGAACTCTACTTTTTGGATTTTTTTGGGAAGTCGTCTTGTTTTGAAATGAATTTATTCCATACATTTGCATCATACTGTACATATATTTCTGAAATGGTAATTCAGAATGTTTCAAATGATTCTATATAGGTTTCCGTTGTAACGTCCTTCCTCTTTTTATTTCAGAGTTCTGTGACTCCTGTAGTCAGAGAATGGAGAAAGTTATACGTATCATTGTTCTTTGGGTTATACATCATTTCGATTTTCCGGAGATTTTGTAGTTTTTGTTAAGTGCGTTTGAAGTATTTCAGACGCATTTATCTGGGATATGAAGATATATTAGATGTTTATGATATATTTCTGATAGGTGTATTTGGAATGTTTTAAAAGATTCCATGTAGGATTCTGTTGATGATATGTTTCAGACACATTATGTGTTTACTGGGCCTATTTTGATTGAAAAATTGATAGAGATGTCAAAAAAATATCTGTTTTGTTTCCATGGCATTTCTGTTGCGTCCACACTCCACAGCCATTTAAATGTTATTGGCAACTTCGATTCATTGCTAAATGAATGAAAAATGATTTGAGGAAACATAAGCACACTATATATATTTGTGAACAGAACAAAATGCTCTTTCGCTGGATTTGAAAATAGACAGGGTGTTTCTTTAAAAAAAACTGATTTGGATTTTTTTTATCATTTTGCGATTCGCATCTGTTCGTCTTCGCTAAGGAGTGCCAAAAGATGAAACATATAATACATTCTACAACTTCCATATTTGAAATTTTTTTCCACCTCGTATAGTTGAAGCTGTAGATAAAAGTCAAAATATACGGAGACACTCTGTACCACTAAGGCAACTTGAACGACGATTAGAAAAGTATGTCGACCTCTAATCTGCTTAAGGAAATGAGGAAAAGGAAATGTGAAATGCCAATGCCAGGTTGTCAAAACTTGAACTACGCATTTTATAATTTTTATAGCCAACATGCAGTTGCTCTGGATGCAGTTTCTTTGTTTCCTTTCGTGGAAAACTCTTGCAAAACCGCCTTGTCAAAATCTGATAAATAATCAATCAATTGATGGTGAAACTAGTAGCATATGGGGGTGTTTATGCCCAATCGGAAAGTGCATAAGGAAGTGTTGTGCGGATAGTGAGATATTTCTAAGAGATAGGTGTGAGTATAGTCCAGAAAATAATTTGAACATCACTTTTTACGATGGCACCAATCCCAATCCACTAATCAGACTGGATGACTTTCGTGTAATTCACGACAGCGAATGTCCTAAGGATCACGTACGTTTCACACCAGATGCAGTTTCTGACGTTTTTTTACAAGCAAACGGTTCGTTGCTCATCAAAAGTTTCGAACAATTTTATTCTCCAGAACAGTTCTGTATCGATATGATCGACAATGAAACTTCGGCGTTTTTATGTGAAATTCCTGAAAATTGGAGAATGACGGAAAAAAAAGCTATGGCTCATGGTAAGTGTTGAACATATCATGTCAACTGTGTTTTGTACAGTGGCGGATTAAGGTAGCTGGGGGCCCTAGGCACAAGACAAATCTGGGGCCCTTTCCTTGAAAAATGTGTGTATGTACTGCAGGCGATTATTTTTATTTACATTAAGGACATTTTTTTTCATAATACTTCATCAGTATCCGCTCATCTCTCAATTTGGACCTCACCAGGTACAGTCTTATTATAAAAGCGTACCAGTACATTGGAGGGAGAAATTAACGTCATCCTATTTGCGTAAAACGGGCTATCGGGAATGAATGTTTACCAAATGTTGACAGTAGAGTAATCATAGGTTCTCAAAAACACAAAGCATTGATGAATGCCGAAATCTTCTATGTTACATACTTGTACGCTTTTTTATTGAATACGACTGTACAAAAAGGAAGTGGATAGAAAAATACTACCAGAATAGGAAAAGGAAAACGATTCGTAAAATAAAGGTGATGGTATGAAATGATGGATTATGATGTCTGTTGTATGATCGAAGGATACAACGATCATAAGAAACTAAAAGATATACCATATAAAACAACCACTAAGTTTGCAATTTTCTAAAATCAAATCACAGAATTAGACTGATAGATATTTGATTACTTCAGAAGAATGATAGAGATGCCTGCAAAAAAATGCCCGCAAGAATTACTTTTGAAAACTTCAAATTTCACGTCGATCATTTTCTGATTTTGATATAATGTTATGTTATATCTCCTCAATATTGATTCGTCCTATCGCCCTGTAGGTATTCAAAAACGCTCAATAGCCTCAAATATTGAGTTTTTGAAGTGTAATAGGTGTACCAAATTCCAATCAATTATTCCGAAAATTGTAGGAGAAAATTAAAAAAACATAAAAAAATTTGAAACTTTGACACCCAATTCGGAAACGAAGCTCCCACGCATATATGTTTTTATGAGATTTTCATCTTAAAAAAATGCCTTCTTCAAGCTGTTGAAGTCCTGCTACAAAAAACTGAAACATCCTGTATATTGTCTCATTCAATCATGAAATAGTCATACGAATACAACTCGTGATACTATTTTTCCTGGAAATATTCCTCGATTGACATACTCCAGCTTGCTGCTCTAATTTCGCTCATGACATTGATCCAAAACTACTCGCCTACGGCTCGTAGTTTTGATAACAATGTCATTCACGAAATTTCTAGGCAACAAGCTGTCGTGGTATTACATATCACCTGTGGTATTACATATGATAAAAAAGGTGCATCCTTCTCGTCGTCATATATCGTTTACCGTGTTGTGGAGTCCGTGTAGGAGTTGATTTATCATTGTAAAATCGCGATATAATTGAACCACTATAGAAACAGTTGATAAGATATTTAAAAAAAAAACTGAAACACTTACCGATTTTGCCAAATCGACTCCTATTTCATTTCATCAACAAAATAATATTAGTTTAGATAATCGAGCTAAGTATAGAAGTTTGTATAGGTTTGGAAATTCAACACAAACTTCTCGAAAAAATAGCAAACCACTCGTTAAATTTAGTGCAACCATACTCGAACTTCGAACGAGTTAATAATGTATCTCGAAGTGATTGTAATAACATTCGTCATATGGGGATTACGAACCGATAGTAATAGCAGAGAAATTTGTCCAAACTCTGTGAGAGATAATCTACATCTTCAAGAGTGTGAAAATAAACAGTGTGTGCAAACATGTTGTGTGGAAGAGGAAATCGAACAAGAAAAAAACTGCGCTAATTTGTCGTATATGCTAACAGATTTCCTCGATCTAAATATATCGTTAACACATTTAATTAACAGCGAAACAACGAGAGAGTGTAATGAAACTATTTGGATTTCTCACGAAGCGATAGACTCAATCAAAGAAGATGATTTGAATGTAATACAGAGTTTACAATTGCCTCTGAACTATACTCAATTTTGTATAGATGTTTCTCTTACCAATGACAGCATGGGCCTATTCGTGTGTATTTTCAGAAATGACTCTGAAAAATCTTCCGTAGCCCTTGAGGAAAATAATTCTACGGATATTTCATTTGATGCCTTGGAGAACTTTTGCAGGGGCAAAAAGTGTGTGAGAAAGTGTTGTGGACTAGAACAGTTCGTATTAGATACTACCTGTGCAGAAACAATGCCTATTTACAATTTCAGTTTCTATCTATCGGACCATAATTTTAGTGATGAGACGCATCTTCTGATCCATAGGGAATTGTACTGTTATAATGATTCTCTCAAGATAAAAATTGACGATTTCAACATCAATTTCAATGGATCGATCTATTGGAGAACTGGAAGTTCAAGTATAGAAATCGATAATTATTGCCTGGATATTTTCACCGGAGGCATCGAAATGGAATATGAAGAGGGTGAATTTGTTGTTGCAGCTCTGATTTGCCTTGGATATGAATCTGAAATTATAATTGATGACAAAATACGTATAACAGGTAGGACACAGCATTCTGATATTTTAATCAATAATTGAATTTTTTTTTGCGATGGCATCGGGAATTTTCTAATCAAAGTAGATTATTTTTCTAATTCTTTTCGATGATATCTACTTTTTTCTGACCCAAAACTGTTACTAACGTGCATTGAATACTCTTGTATTATCATTGTCTTAGAAATTGACGCTTCACTTGCTTCATCCAAATACGGAAGAAAGGAAGTGAAATTACACTGAAATTGTCAGGTTACTATTTTTTATTGGTTTATCAATAGGTTATTTACATTTTTATCCACCATGAAATGATTGATATTACTCACAACAAATGGTCTTTCCTCCCTATTTTAACCCCGTAGCCAGAAATAATTGTTGTTGAACCGAAATTCCATATGGAAGATATTCAGGGTGGCGTCCAAAATCGCAGCCAAGATCGAAAATTTTGTATACAGGGTACTTCACAACTGAATTCTGATCCTCAAGGGCGATAATCCTTGGTTGATTTCAAGAAATATTCTTCAAATGAACATAGGTCCGCAACCGCTTTATATCTGTGATAAAGAAGGCTGAAATTCCACAAAAAAAAAACGGATTTTTCCAATACCCCTGAAATCGCTTTGTTTTTTTCCATTATGCAGATTTTCTTAATTTAAATCAGTGGAGTCTCTGTTAACATGGCCTACACTATTTTTTATTAACATTTCATTATTGAGAATCTGTTGGTCTAATGTTGATATGGATCTGAATCTATCATCATAAGAAGTGATTTTTTATAATGTTTTTTTAAAAGTTCTATCGATGAACATTCGTTTCGGAAACAGGTCATCAAAAACTGATGAACGATTTTCAGACTCAATTTCTAATGTGAATTATGGTGGAATCGATATTGTTCACAGGATCAGTAAAATAATCTAGCTCCAAAAAGTTATGTTGCTAAAGGAGGTGTTACTGACTACCGATTAATTATTTTCCTACGTTCCATAGGTGGAATTCTGAGCGCAATAACCTTTCGGGACAAAAAAAATCAGGTATATTGAAATAATATAATTTTCTAATTCATATACAAGGTGTTTCGCGGTTGATGGAACCTAAGACGTATCTGATGGAGAATCGAACAACAGATCATTTCGAAAATTTGTGATCGTGGATAATCAAGCATGCTCCGTCTAAGATATGTTCGACAACGCGGTGTTGCCATTTATATTTGGAAATTGTAGCTACTTTGTTATTTCAAATGGCACACCCTGTATTTCATTGCATTTTTAGATTCTTCCTGAAGAGCTGAATTCATCAATGCATCACACTTGGGGGTCTAACAGGAATGATTACAGAGATATAGGGTGTTCAAAATCGAGATTTTCCAACTTCAGAATTATGAATCTTTTGAACCATCATGTATTTGTTCCAATTAAATGTCAGTAGATAGTAAATCAGAAGCTGATACGGACATGAAAGGCGTTTTGATCGATAATTAATAGGTTTGACAAGAAAGCCTAAAGTTGAAAATGTCGATTTTGAACACCCTATATCTCCGCAATCATTTCCTCTAGTCACCAAGCATGACTCATTGATGAAATCAGCTCTTTAGGAAAGATCTAAAAATACAATGAAATACCGTCATCTGAGTATATATGAAACAGCAATGGTTACATGAAACATCAGCTACATTTTTCGAATTTGGCGCTTTGGTAATTTTAATTTCACAATGTTGATTAACCTGTTTGTCAAAATCGTTCCGGTTTTGAGTTCTTAAATGGATTACCTGTATATTGTAACATTTTTGGATTTCTGAGACAATTCCGGATCGAAATGTGATATTCTCAAAAGTTTATGCGCATACCTCATTTTTTTAGAGTCCCTTTTTAAATTGCATAGTTTTAGTTATTGGTTTTCAACATTATATTTTCGTGTCCAACCATTATTGTTCAAATATGAACCATATTTCGACACGACCTTTCCGAAACAAGTATTTTTGCCGAATCTAACAAAACTAATTCATTTGCGATTTGATTAAAAATGAGATGCATTTAATAGAATCGATGAAAATACTGGATAATAATTCCTATACACGTTTGTCAAGTGTGTGATGAATTGCCACAATGCAAAATATTTGCAAGTTATTTTCATCAAGTTTTCTTTGTAAACTAAAACACTCGCTTAGGTACCTACCTATAATGGCGATATATAAACCTTACGAGCAGACAGTAGAAGTTCCTTGATTATAATATGCAATATTGAAAGTGACTCTGAAAAAATTATCGAAGTGTCACATTCTGATCCAGTTCGTCTCAGAAATCGAAAAAAATATTGCAATATACAGGGTGTTCCATCTAAAAATTCGAAACATGAGCCATTTTCGTTGAAGCAGGACGCGACTTGAGAGTAAAATAGTACATTATACACCTAGGGAATAAAGTGGTATTTCAAATCCCTAGAGAAAGAGTTGATTTAAAAACACTTTAGTTCCGAGGTGTAATGCTACTAAACGTTAGTTACTCTATTTCTAAAACATCATCGAAGGGGCTGATATCATCAACGACCTTAGTCACTATGGTGATCCAGATCATGATTATCATCGGCAACTGAAAATCTTGGTGTGTTATGACAAGTAACTGAGTAAAACTTAAATAAATAAATATTAGTCAAACACGCCACTCCGTTTGAAAGACGTTGATCGCGATGGAACAAATCGGAAAGGCAGCTCAAGAAGCTGAAGGTCAATTATTACCAAGAAAATCTGGAGAGCAAAATGAACAATAGTTGCCTATCTGAGTTTATCATATGGTACGGACGTAGAAAAATGTACAGAAGGAAAGGTACTGCTACTAGCATATTTCTTGGAAAAGTCAATGAACCTTAAAACATCGTCATTGTGGAGCGTATATTCGATGATTGCAACAGACATTTTGAAAAAACATTTTTGAATTTAGCTCTCATTGCAAAGAAATTCACTTTACTCGTTTTGATTTGTTGAACTTGAATATGTAAATATATACAGGGTGTTCCATTTAAAATAACAGAATTGCTGGCATTTCCAGAAAAACTGGGACTCTGCCATATTGGATTGTGATGTCATCAAATCCGAAATGTTTGCTTATATACCCGTACCAAAGTTCAGAAAAATCACTTTACGAATCTACAATTTACAGGGATAACCCGTTATCCTGTGTCACCTGGTATACCTAAAATCATTTTGATGATAGATTCGTTGATATCCGGTATGTCATCATCAATTCGAATGATTCTCGCGAATTAACACCTAGTTTTAACAAATCTGTGGGCGTTAGAACACGTAGTCATTCGGTTTCATACACTGTGTCCGTAAAGTATGGAACAAATTCGATATTTCCTAAACTAAAAGCCTTTTCAAAAATATCTGAAACACTTCAACTACATATTCGAGGGGGACATCGTTCTGAAATATTTTCAGCCTGCGGCGTTGCCGCTTCTAACGAAAAGAAGCAACAACTTTGTTATTTCAAATGGAACACCTTGTATTTTATTGTATTTTTAGATTCTCCCCGAAGAGCTGATTTCATCAAGGCATCACACTTGGGGTCTAGCTGTAATGATTTCAGGGATATATGAAGTGTTCAAAATCGAGATTTTTCAACTTTAGCATTTTTTTGTGTCGAAACTATTCATTATTGGTCAAAACGCCGGCTTCCATGTCCCTATCTCAACTTTTGATTTACTATCTACTGACATTTAATTGGAACAGATACACGGTGATCAGAATTCTGAATCTTGAACCACCCTGTATTGTGGCTATTTCGTAGTTGAAATTACGCCAGTCGGGCAACCAGCCACTCCCGTACGGGAATTTCAGTTTTGGAGTGATTCTTTCCTCTGTTCTACTCAGATGACGTTACTTCTTTCGCTGAGTCGGCGGTCTTAGGACTGCTGGCTGGAGACTACACTGCACTGATGAGAGTCAAAGAACTCGAAACCGGCCTGTGGTTGTGTGGCGTGGCCTGGCTAAATCGACATCAATAGGCATTCACGATTTTCACGAACGAATCACTTGTTTCAGTATTCGTTCATACGAATCGATGCATAGATTTCGGGAAGATGTAATTCAACGTTCTGCGTGGCATTAGCCAGGAAAGTAGTTGTTTTTCTCCCGAAATCTACCATTGTTGTTCATTTTATGAACATTGTGTGGAAATGACTTTGAGCTTTTTGTATTTATATATCATTTCGTTATCAGATGACGGTAGAAATCTGCAGCCGGCTTTCCTACTATACCTGTTTACTGAACAAATTAGGAATCAGACAACCTCTTTCATTTTGAATCAGTCACCGCCTCTATATCTGGCACTGTGACCACAGAATCCTGAAGCTCCAGTATAAAATTGTGAATATCTTCAAGGAGACATCACATCATATCAAATAAAACATATTTCCGTTAGCACGCGATATCTCTCAATTCGTGGTTTCGATCTAGATTAGTCGCCAGCGAATGTATTTCCCAAGTAGTCGATCGCTGGATTCAGCATGAAATTACCATTGACACCCTCCGTTTGTCTTCTGATTGCCCTCAGTTTGGGCCAAGAGTTGCCTTGCCCAATAAATCTGAGCGTTAACATCAGCGATGGCTCGCCTGTCCCCGGCGGAATCGAGAAAGACAACGTAACCTACCCCCAAAAGGACATCTTTACCAGCGGCGGAGTCATCTGGGGGTGCGTTTGCAACTTCAGAAAGTGCATCAGAAAGTGTTGTGCCCAAAACGAAACCAAAGTGCATGGACAATGCGTGAAGGATATTATACACCCTTTTGAAGTGATATTCTATGAGGAAAAAGAAGTTACTAGTGTTGCGCACCTGGATGACTTTTTCATCATTTATGGCAGCAATAAGTGTGATAGTAACTTTTCTCGGTACTCACCGGATTCGGGCGCTGATATCTTCATGCAACCCAATGGTAAATTGTTGTTTCACGAAGAGGACAGTGATCCTACATACTTTGATCCGCAAGACTATTGCCTTGATGTGTTCAACAATGAAAGTAGTGCTTTTCTATGTGACAGACCTGATCCTGT